CGCTATTGCAATTTTGAAAATTAAATGACGAAATGATAAAGCTGATGCCATTAGGAAATTATCAACAATAAAAAAAAAACCCGAACACATATTTGAATCATATAGTCGCGGTGAAAAATATCTCAGATAAATTTGTTCTGTCTGATGACTAGCGACTTATTTTTGTGTGTATATTAAAAAAAATTTTTATGTAAAAATATTCAAAATCAGAACTATTGAATAAATATTTTAATTAATATGAATTATTAAGAAAATTAATTTCAATAAAAGTTTAACCGAATGTTATTAAACTGGATCCGCTGAAAAACGAACCGGAACTGTAGAAAAAAAACCGCTTTGAAACTGGAGCCGTTAAACTATTAGATAGATAGAAAAATTCATAAATCTATATCGAGAAATCTTCATTTTTTTGATTCTTGTTATTAAAGATTTCAGTAAATATGTGTTGTCTTTAATTTCAACAATTCAATAGTGAAAATTTATCAAAATATTTTTAAAATTTTTATATCTATCTGATGATTTAATGGTTTTGATTCCACATTATATTTTAGGAATCGAACTAGAACCATTGTATTCTCATTTTTAGAAACCGGAACGTCGGTTCCGAGTAATCTTTGGAACCTTCGAAGTCTTCTGTACTTGTTTCAAGAAGTTCGAAAAAAGACGACATTACGTAACTAGAAGATGAATTAAGTAATAGATAATTGCGAAAGACTCAAAAATTGACTTGATTGTTGTAATATGTGTGGTACCTGTCGAAAAATCAATCTTTCAAAAAGTATCGGTAATTTTTATTATGTAAAAACAAGAGACTTATTATTACATCACGATATCATTAGTAAACGGCTCAAGAACTATTCTAATGGATGAGCCGAAAGTTTTCAGATAAAATGTTTGCTTATTTTTGGCTCCCTTAAAAGTATTTCCCGAGGAGGCAAAAGCTATAGATTAAGACCAATGAGATGATCAATAGTTTGGACGGAAAATTTTTCCGTACACTTTTGTACTTCGATTATTACAACTCGATAGTTAATGTTGAAACCTTTATTAATATATTAACTTGTAGAACGGAAGCTATCCTACAGGTTACTTCAACTTTCGTTTCTTTGATTTTTCTTCGGAAAGTATGAAGTGTTTCTCTTGTATATAAAAGAATTTCATACCTGTGACACAGTTTTCGAAGAGATAACAGATGTCACTTCTATTGTTGGTGCTTTTCGTGGTCGTGATGATCGACGTACAACAGAAAGATTTGTATCGTCAATAAATGATTCTTCATGTTGTTTATCATTATCTTCGATTTTAGAATTTTCATCATTACTGTTGTCTTCCATAATAATTTTACGTTTTCTACCTCGACGAGCTGGTGTTATGATTTCTTCTTTTGGTTCATTTTTTATTTCTAATTCGATTTGATTTTTTGTATTGTTTAATGATTTTATTGAACCTTTTGGTCGACCACGCTTTTTCCTTATTAATTCTTCAGGTTTTTCATATTCAATTGGTGTAAATTCAACGCTTTCGTTTATATTTGTATCGATTTGCTTTGTTAAACTCTTTGGTCGTCCAGGTTTTCTTTGTATCAATACATCATTTGTTTCATTATGATTTAATATTGGTTCAATTTCGTGTTTTTCTTCTTTTATTTCAATATCTACTTGATTTTTTTCTTTGGTTAATGATTTTATTGAACCTTTTGGTCGTCCACGTTTCTTTTTTATTGATTCATTAGGTTTTTCATCATTATATGACATGTGTTCGATTTTCTCTTCTTCTTGTTTTATTTCTTTTTTTAATGATGCTACTGAACCTTTTGGGTGTGGGGTGGGATGTGGGTGTGGGTGTAGATAAAAAGAAGGTCAGCACCTGCACCCGCACTCACATCCATACCTCACCCCAAAATTTCTTTCCTTTATTGTTTTGTTATCTGAATAGGGAAGCATTTTTTTTTGTATTTTTCATTTATATTGGAACTCGAATTAGCATCTACTCGTTTGGTACAGATATTTCATCTTGAAAAGGCACCTAAGAGAAAAATTGGTTTACCGCTGAGATAATAGGCGCCCTTTGTATACTCTCGTTCTTTTTTTTTATGTTGCAATATATTGACAATATTTTTTTATACTGGAAAAAGTGCTCTGCACTTTCTCCTTCTGCTGTTTTCTTCGCATCACAAATAATTGCTGAATAAATAACTCACTCAAATAATTCTAATTACATATGTTATATTGAGTAACAAGCTAAATCAATGTAATTACGTTCTTTGTAATTTTGGAGGTCTATATTAATCGACGGAGAAAATATTGCTGATATATGCGTAGGTGAAAGCAAATAAACTTTTCTTGTTATTTAAGTAGCTTGTATTACATGAGCCAAAAGCAAGCACAAATATTTTCAATAATGCTCTGTCGAAGAATGTATTTGATCGTATCTCTCAGTGCAGTCATTAGCTTATGCTGTGGAGAATATTTGCCTTTATTCCCGAGTCACATGCTTCCACCAGCTCGCATCAATCATACTTATACGGTTCGTGGTATAGTAACTTCTGATGAATTGAACACGGAAGCAACAGGTATTTTGGCTCTTCGAACGCTCGTAAAGCCTTCTGGTAACGGATATGCACTCTGGACTTCGTCTAATGTCAGCGGTATAGATGCCATAACATATGCCGAATATTATTCAGACGGTGGATATGTGGGGATTCAGATACAAGGAGACGATTGTATATCTGTCGATTTTAAATCTATACGTGTCAATTGTACGGAGTGGATACAAATCGATTCATTCGCCTACAAAATTCGATGTGTTACTAATGTAGTAGATATGACAACCACGCTGTACGCTCAAAATACAGATCCTAATTCGCCTGCTCGCATGATAACGTTGCTGAACTTGTCGGACTCTAGTACCTTCAATGTAGTACAAGAATTTTTGAATAAAACTGAATCACGTCCATTTCCGAACGTTGTACTTTGCTGAGCTAGATTTTTTTGTATCGTAACTAAAATCTATATTTACCTTATCGTTTATCTAACGTTTTAATCAATAAAATATGACGCGATCCATTCTATGCAGGTTTTTATTAAAAGAACATTTCTCACCAATGTAAATATATGATCATTATCCGGTTAAATTGAGTATATGACGTAGATTTTTAGTCAAAAAATGGTATAGAATTCGATTACTGATTTTTTTTTCATATTCTGGGTGTGCAGTGGACTGTGGGGTGTGGGTATGTTGGATCTTCTTACAGACACACCCTCGGTCAGTCATAAAATATAATGTTGAGAAAAAAATTCAAAAGAAGATTTAGTCACCACCAATATTTTTCACGTGAAGAAGTCAAAAAAGTTGAACTTCGTGTTACAAATAGTTTTGCTATGTCCGAGAAAAAAATATATTTGTTTTCTATTTCTTCTAGAAGTGAACAAAGAGAATATCAAATTATGGTATCCTATAGTACTTTTCATGGGCTATTCACCACAATAAAAAACAATTAGAAGAGAACGTGTATAGAAGATGATATCTGTAGAAAAAGATGTGCAAGCTTTTTTGCAAACATCTGTATATCCAGACTGAAGTCGTTTCCAGATCTCTAGATTTGGATTTTGTCTTGACTCTTGGGCACAGAGTTTCGGAACTTTTCACAACGACTATTGAGCACTGGAAAGACGAGATCTTGAGATCAAATACCAGCTCGATGCTCGAGATCTGAGATCCTAATAGGATGATCTCCATGATTCCAACATTCGACGCACGAAACAAATCAAGGGGGAAACAGCTGATTCCAAGACTCTGGTATTCCAAGGATTCCATGGATTCTGCTGCTCGAAATCGGTTATTTCCTCCTTGGATTTTTTCCATTATTGTAAGGACGGCAGATGGTACTGTCCGTGTCGATTATAAGTTTTCAAGGATCCTCTTTAATTCGTCCCGAACAACCCAATGCTGTCTTCTAACAATAGGAGAGAATTAGATATGGGGAGGGACGGGAATGGATAGGTTTTTTCCGTGACCTTGGGTGTGGGGGGGTGTGGGTGTGGGGGGGGGGGGGG